GTCAGTGAGTTTACTATTTTCTTTTACAACTTCGGTGAGTTTACTACTACTTCTACTTCCTGTTATCTTCTTCGTCGTCATCTTTTTTGCAGTAGAAACAGCCGGTTGTTGATCACGTGACTCATGATGCGAAAAAAGTGTTTCCATTGCAGTTTTACAAAAAACACCAATTTCGTTACGGCTGAAAAACCACCTCATCCTAGCGCAAAAACATTTTGTCGAAAAACGTAAGCTATTTCAAACTTACCGTGTTTCCATTGAGCAAATTTATTTTAGAAATTCTAATTTGTGCGTTTTCATGGTTATTTTCAGAGGTTCTGAAAGTCTTTTTGTTTTGTCACAACTAAAGATTTTCCTGTTTGGAACCTCGTGGCCCTGCAGGTCCACGGTCCACCACGAGTCTACCTGCCCAGGTGATCTTCATCTGTGACTCCTCCGTTTTTAGGTTATTACAAAGACGACCGCAGCAAATTCCCGTACGAGCGGCGGCCATCTTCCCGAGCCTTCATCGCTGCTGATGATGGAGACTTCTACTACTGCGGGGGGGCGTTCGGAGGTCTCGTGCAGGAAGTCCACCAGCTCGCCAGAACCTGCCGCATCAACTTCGAGGACGATGCCAAGGAGGGGATCGAGGCCGCCTGGCAGGAGGAGAGTCACCTGAACAGGTATTTGTGTCAGAGCACAGGGGGTGGGGCTTGTTTGTGTTGTGCTGATGTCACTTCCTGTTTCTGTGCGCAGGTACATGTGGATCAACAAGCCCAGCAAGATCCTCTCACCTGAGTACTTGTGGCAGGACTTCAAGCCCCGAGAACCAGAAGTTAAAATCATCAGGTTTTCTGGAGTCATTAAGAACTACGCTGCAATCCGACCCAACTGAGCTGTACCTGGACCTGGACCTGGACCTGGACGTGGACCTGGACCTGGACCTGGACCAGCTGGGTGGCACTAGAACAATCCCAGTCCGAGTTTCCTGTCAGTCTATTACACTGATGCACTTTCAGCACCAAGAAGCACTTTCTGTCCCAACCCAGTCCAGTCCCATCTGGACTCAGAACCTCTGAGTGTGGACAGATCAGCGACTGGTCTAACCAGGTCCACATCACAACACAAAGTTCTGGATCAGTTTTGCTACTGTTGCGGGTTCTGACACATGGACCGTTCCTGCTGGGTTCATGTTCTGACCCGTCTCAAGTCTCAGACCTGGAGTACCTGTTGGACCCTGCAGAAACTTTAATCCTGATCATGGTTCAGCTGAAGTCCAGGAAGTCCTGGTTTTATTCTGGAATTAGTCAAAACATTTAATGAAGTCTGGACCGGCTAGAGAAAGAAGAAGAAARGATCTTCAGCTGGTTCTGTTTCCCAACTCTGGACTGTGGGACGGTTCTGAACCGGTCTTTGGCGCCACCTTCTGGTCTTTTTAAAAAAAATCTTTGAAAAGTTGAAAAACTTAAGTTTTGTTTCTGGGAAGGTTTTGTTTTTTGTTCTGAACGTTCTTTTCTTTCTGTGGAACACGGGTTCTCCGGGTCCTGGTAGAACCTGCTAMGTTCTGCTGGTCCAGAGGAACTTTGTAAACATTGGGTTGTTGTGGTTTTTCCTCTRGGGTAATAATCCTCTCAGGTGTGTTGATGTAAGAACTATTTTTTAATTTTTTAATTTTTTTGCTGCTTTTCATTAAAGTTTTTTGTCGACACCAACAGGTTTCTGTTGTGTTGTTTCTGATAAACTTCTGAATATTTTATTTATAAAATATTTGTAACCAGAGTCTGAAGATTAAAATAATGATAGTTTTATAGTTAATAGTTTTATTTAATAGTTTTATGGTTAATATCAAAAAGAAAAACTAAGTTGGTCCTCTGGATGGTTCTTCTTTAGTGAAACGTTTCATCTCTCCTCCAAGAGACTTCAGTCTGAGTTTCAGGTGAACTCAGACTTATAAGCTCCGCCTCCACATGGACAAACAGGTTAATCACATGTAAAAGAGGGCCATCGACTAACAATAGGCTTGATTGGCTTTATTGTTCATAGAGGGTCATGTGACCCATCACCTGACCCGTGTCGTGTTATGTGAATATAGTGAATGCAAGCGGGGGTTCAACGTCCCCTTTTTGTTTGTTCCCTCTTTGTGTTGGTATCATTGGGGCCCTGATTCACACCTTTTGCTCACAGGGGGCGGAGTCATACTTGCAATAACAGCGTTTTAGGAGGAGGACAACTGGACACGGAGGCCTCCACCTCTGTTTAATGGTGGACGGTTTTTCTTCACAAAGACGGCTTCCTTTACTCCTCTCAAACCAACGTTCCTCTCTATCAAGGATGAGAACATCTTCATCCCTGAAAGAGTGACCGCTGGCCTGTAGATGAGTGTAAACTGTACAGTCCTGACCTGTAGATGAGTGTAAACTGCAGAGTCCTGACCTGTAGATGAGTGTAAACTGTAGAGCCATGGCTGTAGATGAGTGTAAACTGTAGAGTCCTGACCTGTAGATGAGTGTAAACTGCAGAGTCCTGACCTGTAGATGAGTGTAAACTGTAGAGCCATGGCTGTAGATGAGTGTAAACTGTAGAGTCCTGACCTGTAAAGGACTGTAAACTGTAGAGTCCTGACCTGTAGATGAGTGTAAACTGTAGAGCCATGGCTGTAGATGAGTGTAAACTGTAGAGTCCTGACCTGTAAAGGACTGTAAACTGTAGAGCCATGGCTGTAGATGAGTGTA